CTAGAGTGGAATTAGCCAAATTCTAGGGAGGGAATGAGACGAAGAAGGAGATTAGGGCTTTTAGGATAAAAAAAATCTTCTTTGATTCTTCCTTGCTCCATTCTGTCCTTGTTCTCTATTTGTGCTCCCTGTACGTCTCCCTCTATGCACTACAACCCTCTTAAATACTCCAAAAACATAACGGTAACCCTGTGAGTCAAGTAAAACCAAAGAAAAAGAGGGACGGAAAAGCATAAGGAATGATGCCACCTATAGAGCTTTGACGAATAAAAAATCAAAGGGGAAAAAACTTTTTCTTAAAAGGAAAAACATTCATTTAAATAAAAATCCTAATTTATAAAATAAAAATAGAAAATAGAAAATCAAATCAAATTCTTTTTTAAAACAAATCTATTTTTTTAATTTAATTTAATTAAAATTTAGGTTATTTTTAACCAAACATTAAAATTAAACTTAATAAAGTAAGAAATAAATAAATAAATAATGACCGAAATTAAGCCAAACCAATTACAGTATCTACAAACAAGTCATTATATCCTACCTCATATTTGGGTGCAATATTATTTTGAAAAAAAAAAAACTTTCATTGTCTATGTATTTGCGAGAATTAAATAAACCTCACTATGAAAAAAAATTTAAAAAATCTTTAATTTCCATTTTCAATCTACAATAAATAAATTTTCATGTAGGATGAAAATTCATTATTGACATAGGAACAAATTGTTCTTCCCCCAATGTCGTCAACATGTCGACGAAATGTCAACATGTCAATTCAAATGTCGTTTTTTTTTAATTTAGGTTATTTTATTTTCAACTTCTTCCTACTACAATCTATAATTTCTCACAACCTTGATGATTTTAATCTTAATATGTTTAATGCAACGTTCGCATTTTAATATAAAGATTTAATAACAAGTATAACTACTAAGATCATTATAAATATAAGATTCGAAATTTACTTTCTGTTCTATTAGAAGTAGTTGACTACTTTTTTTTTTTTTGCAAAGAGTAGTTGACTACTTCTTCAGGTCTTTCATAATAGGAATTCACTTGGAAATGAGATAATTACCTACTCGGTTTCCAAACGCATTTCTAAATTCTAATTAATTCATACCTACTTCTTTTTTCAAATTTGAATTTACACATTTTTCATACACATTTTCAAACTCATTTAAAATTTCTACAATTATTTCAATCTTTATATGTGTCAATATTTCACATATATTGTTCAGTTGCGTAACTAAAGACCAGATTGTATTGGAAATTATCAATAAAACATAATCAAGTAACAATGAACTTTAATTTAATAATTCAAATAATTTCCAGGTATGTATACAGGATTTTGTTCCAATATGTATCGTGGTCAAAAGTGAACAATTATAGACAAATTAAGCTACAATTAAAGTTTACTTTACGTATTCAAATAATTTTCATCAATCTTCATTTAAGAAATTTTATTTTTTTGGATATTTCCATCAACGTTGACATTTTCATAAGTAAAATGGTCATATTCTTACATTTAATGGTTAAAGTTGATGAATTATAGGCTAATTAAGCGTCAATTCAAGTTTTATTTACTAATTCAAAAAATTTCCATCAATTATCCTATTTCATCCCATTAAAGCATAAAGTTTTTTTGTTATAATTAATAAAGTGTATTTTTATGCTAAAACGATCATAGCTAATTAGTACATATCACGAATCAAGAGATTGTGAGTTCGATCCTCACTCCCACGTGTTGTACTAAAAAAAATAAAATATATTTTTATATTATATTATCACTTTGTCAATTAATTTTAACCAGACAATTAAGAACTTCATTGAAAATTTTCGATACACTAGAGATGAAATTGAAACTTTCAAAAAATTAGGGACGACAATATTGAAAAAACATCTAAATGTTTGAGACAAAATATGTACAAACCACAACCCACAAACATTGAATTATTATATTTTGTGGATATAAAATTATTTACAGTTTTAAAATTTCTCTTAAAAATTTTGGTATAACACAACTTTAGGCTAAAATGAATATAAATTAGTTAATTAATTACTTTATGATCATTGAAGATAATAATTAGTACCTTCATTAAGATTATGGTCTCCCGATCACTAGCTCACGAAATCTCTTAGAAGAAAAATTTTAAAATTCAAATTTATGACTTTGTTTTTCATGAATTGAATTTGTTAATAGATCTCAATAGAGGGAATAAATTATAACCAATCTAATACTGACTTGAAATTTAACTCATTACAAATGGACACCAACAATTAAATGATGAGAATAGTCTACATGAAAATACCTTAATTGGTTAGGATATTACATATTTTCCTAAATATTAGAGCATGAGGTTTGAATTCCCTATTTAACTCGAAAAAAGAGATTTTTTTTTTCATTTTTTTAAAGTTGTTATATTTTTCTATTTATCTTTCAGGAAAATATAAGTATTAGTTGAGAAAGTTTTCTGCCTCCCTTCTCACATGATGATGGTGGACACCACAATTAGAGATAAATAGAGTAATTTTTTTACCTTTTGTTTTCCCAATTATTTTATAAAGGAAGAGTTTACAGTTGTGTAGGGCTAACTATTACCTTTTAAATAAAATTTTTGGGATATTAAAAAAATAATAAAATAAAACTTTTGGGATTAGCCTTTTACAGAAAATCAAATGGAAAAAAGAAAAAAAAAATCGTTACGACCAGTTTTGCAACCATCGCCCTCTTTTTGTTTTTGTTTTTGTTTTTTTTTTTACTTTTTTTCAATAAAATATTCCTCCATTTGTTAACTATTTCTTATTCTTCATTTCTTTTATTGAAAAAATAAGAAAACTTTATTTTGTTAGAAACCGAAATAAAAAGCAAGAAATTTAAGGGCTTGTTTGGTAATTTTTTTATTTATTGTTTCTCGTTTTCAATTTTGTTTAGATATATAACAATTTGATAATGTTTGGGGGTAAAAATACCTTGGACACGTGGAGGACGCTTATTGGTGTTCAAGAATTAAAATATCCCAGGTCCACCTCGAACCTGCCGAAGAGGTCGGGTTCGCCCATAGGAAAAAGGCTAAGTATACATGCCGAAGTTCGATCTAGTTGGGGTTCGATCTGCTCAAAACCCGACAGGTCCGACATGAGAAAAAACATGTAACTGCCGGTCGTGAGTACTGTCGGATCCACCACCTATAAACAGAGGGCCTCATTTCACGCTTAGGTATCGAATCTCACCTTGAACTAAATACTGAGTCCGATCTATACTTACTTGAGCGTCGGAGAGTTTACCCTCTTGTGCAGGTCCACTCTTGAGTTCAGGTCGAGCCAGGGACCGGGTTGGAGCTTGGTTCGTAAAGCATCGTTGTGCA